TTTATTAAGTGTATTAAAGACAGGTGACTAATATATATACCCCATCATAACTAGAGACAGAGAAAAATTTCCATTTTCATTTACTTAATCTCAGGATTCAAAATAAGTAGAGTTAATTAATCCTCAACTGTGATATTAGGATATATTGGACTTGTTTCCTTTAAATAAGCTCCTGAATTAATATTATCAAAATTGACAGCAAGTTTATCTATTATTCAATAAAAATTCTTAATATTCCATCATAATATCTAGACATCTCAACAAATTAACCTTAGTTCAAAAAAACTAAAGTACAAAAGATAAGATGCAAATTTTCTTTAAATTTATTATTTAATTTATCAGATTTCTATATTAATATTCTAATTATTTCATCATATCCATAGACAACTTAAATCAAAAAGAAATATTTTATAATTATTACTTTTCATTAAATCTTTAATAGCATTCTGAAATTATTTTAAAAAATTAAGATAAAGAATTTTTTCACAATATTTCAGATTGACGTTAGATTAATTTTTATATACTGTATATTCAATTTTATATTAGACTATATTAGATTATAATTTCAGATGAAAAATTCTATAAGTTATTATTAATTTTCTCCCTTTAAAGATTTTTTATGATTAACAATTGTCATCTGAACCATTTTTAAGATAATTATCCTCTTTTTTTTTTCATATTATTTCATTAATCCTATTTTTAAAGGGATTTCTATTTAACGGTTCTTATTATTTAAGGATACATATTGACATAGATTGATCATCTATAAATTTTATGATCTTTAGAGATTGAAAAGCTCTAATAGATTAAAATCTATATGTGTTTGATTAATGTGATTAGTTTTGAAATTCTTTTTGTTTAATTAATATCTTTTAAAATAATATAAAAAAATAAATTTCTTACAAATTGGACCATAGTTAATAAAAATTTGCAAATAAACTTATGGTTTAAACAATAATATATACATGTTTTTATTAATTTAATTATTATATTGATTTGAATATTTAATAAATTATTAGATATCAAGGAATAGATGAGTGCTAGAACTGTTTTATAGAGAAATGAAGTTGAATTTGATTGATGTTGTTAAATCAAATAAATTAGAATAAAAAAATTATCTTGTTGAAATTGAATAATTATGTTAATAATCATAAAAAATATAAATGATAAACTTTATGGCTACATATGAAGATCAAACACAAGATTAGTTTGATTAAGAACTCGAACAATTTGGTTCTCCAAATACATTACATTTTTCTGATCAGGGTTAAAGTTCTTATGTTGATTCAGGTATATAAGATTCAAATTTATTGACTCCTTAACAGCAAGTAATTAAAAAAATAAAATTGGCAATTCAAAGAAGACTTCCACCAAAAAGAATTCAATACACTTATCATAAAAAAAAGAAGCGTCCTCCTCCAAAACCAATTATTCACATAAATGTCTTGTTATGGAGAAATCCAATGCTCATCCTTTCTCCAATATTAAAGATAAGAGAATTTTAGAACTTTTTCTAAAGATAGAATCTTAATATTTTAAAATATCAAAATCATTTCCAGGCAAGAGTGTCAGCATGATCAAGAATAGATGCTACAAATACCTTCGTTATAGATGGGATGAAGTTATGGGAATGTAATTTGAATTTAACTATTTTTTTTAGTGATTATAGACACATGAATTCCCTTCCAGAATGTTATCTTTTAAAGGTCAAAATGAATTCAAATTATGTTATTACAGTGATGAACATGATTCTGAATGCTGAATAT